AAATACTCTGTCTGTTTAGAATATCTTGCCTTTTATATCGACCGCAGCTTGTTCAACACAACACCTATTAAGCAATAATGTGAGTTTTAGATGCACAAATCTATATTAGACTCATAAATAAATCAGATATTGAAAATTAAACATTGAAAAATGATAAATAATTGAAAATCAAACATCCAGATTGTGTCGAGTACCACCTGGGGGCACTACGCCACAGTTTCAGTTTGCACAGCGATTTCAGAGATGCCGGTCGAGAGCTTGGCAAACACATGCGAGCTTATTAAAAGCGCCACACGTAAGACAGGAATAAGATATTATGCTTGTTATAAGGAGGACGTCCACATGAGATATGGTTACAGTATGTGATTGAATGTTATCTTTCAGACTGTGGCATCTCATATTTGTGTTTGTTATGACACCCGGACAGCTTTCAGCCCCGAAAGGTTTCCGATGCGCATGCATAATGACAGAGAAGGGATTTCACTAATGTCACGGCATTCAAACATAAATGCTATTTGCTTACACCAGAAAAACTCGACGGCCAGTTATGCTAAGGGTTTGATAAAACATCCCTGGTAGACACTCGATCTTGCTTATGCGTTTCCAGACGCCCACCGTATGCAGCAGTTTCAGCAACCCCGAGCAGAGTCCTCAGCGAGGAAACCGACTCCATTTGTGGCGGACATGAGAAGCCACTGCCGACCTGGTGGGCTTTAATCGCTTGCGTACACACGGGGTCCAAAATCAACTCTTTATTTCATGTAGTATCGGTAACACTCCAATAAAGGTCTCATAATGCATTAACTAACTGTGTGTATGAGTGCACGCGCACACACAAACACACAGTTGGAGAAATTGACTTTTGAAAGTAATGTTACAATAGTGCATTCCTTCCTAAAAAGTAACTAGTTACGTTACTTAGTTACTTTTGCGTAACGTTTTCTCAACTGGCTGAGACTCGCTCTCCAGTCCAGACCTTGCGATTTTTATTCTTTTTTTTTTTTTTTTTTACTGAAAATTACTTATTTGCAAGTGATTAAGCAGTAATTCATAGCCTAGAGTATATATAACATGCACCTTTTCTTTTAAAAACACATTTTAATATTATTATATGCTGACCCCTACAGCTACTGTATGTATGCCATACAAAAGATCCCTTAACATCATATTACATAATGTAAAGCTATTTTATTGAAAGTTAAGTGTCTTGTTATGGAGAAGAAATGTTTAATTCAGTAGTTTAAAAATTGTGTAAGGAAATTAATGAAACAGAGAAGTAATGTGCATTACTTTTTTATAGTAATAGTTTTTATAGTTTTATAGTTTATCTGTTTACATAATATATGTGTGTGTGTGTATATATATATTATTATATTTGTGTGTGTATATTTATGAAGAGTTCAGATGCAAAAGCCTCTAAGTGCCATTTGAAATTTTCTTCTAGAATGATCATTTTTATCAAGCTTGTAAATATAAGTTCAGTGATTTCACTTAAATGGCAATGATAATTACCTATTAATTGTTATTTAACTGAAATTACTGAACTTAAATATAGAAGTTTGTTAAAAATCATCATTAAAGAAGAAAATTTCAAATGGCATTTAGAGGCTTTTGCATATGAACTCTTCATATATATATATATATGTAAACAAAAACTTTTATGTTAAATTGCGATTAATTGATTTGACAGCACTAATAACTTGTAAATGACTTGTTGATGTAACAAGCAGAGTGACATTACTTCATAAATGTAGAACTTAATATTTAAGTTACTTTTGCCACTGGAAAAACATTCATGTTGCTTTCAGTAATTGGTTGAGTTTTGAAATGCCTTTGTGTGAAAAAGGATCTTAGTTTTCAATTCCAACACAATTTGGGACAAGTAAGCAACACACACACCAAAAATATAATATTCCAAACACAGAATTTCCACTTCACATACCAAATCCAAGCAGGTTTTGTAACTCACCTAATGACTTAAACACATCAGTCCCGGCATACTTTCCGTCAAAATAGACTGTGTTGTTCTGAGGGTCGAAGGCACGGCACATTCTGACGAACACCACCTCCAAAGAGCCTACACACCGGCGAGACAGAAACAAAATTGTCATTTTATATAAATCACAAGCAGACAAGCTAGAGAAGTATGTGAAGGCGTATACTGCTAACTGCATTCTCAGCTCTGCCACAAGGTGTGCTAGCATAGCAAGCATTAGCGTAAACAGTCTTTGCATTTCCCAAAAGCATAATCACCCAACTATTTCTGTTGGAAACAACTAAACTTGCAACCACTGCTTTTAGGAAACACTTTTTAGGAAACAGTTGAAAAGAATCCAGCAGAGTAAGTTAGCTGATATTAGCTAAACTGTCGACATGTTTAGTTTGCTATCTGAATAATAGCATACTTGTGGTTCAGTGTTAGACATTTGATGCTAGGTTTGTTATGTGAGGTTAATACTTGCATGGAGTTTGTTTCTGGCCAAAAACACAAGCTTTATTAAGTGTTTTTGAGCAGTGTGTGTGTGGCTCAGGTGGAGTGTGTTGCTGTTATTGTTGTGAGTGGGAGCAGTAATTTTACCGCGGAGGGCTTTGGAGAGCACAGGCTTAGAGGATAAAAGCCACGTAATAGAAGCCATTACGGAGCTTTAGAAAGATGCCGGTGGTTTAAAATGTCATGTCAGGAGCGAGCGCTCACTCAGTATTTTGTTCATAATTTTGGTGGGGCCTGGCACAAACCGAAACACTGAAAGCTTTTGGGATCTTGGCGGGATGGGGTGTGAGTGTGATGTATCACTTTGGCCCATTATTTGTGAGGAGAAAGTGAGCAGTGGTGGATATCATCTCAATAGTGCGTTATTTTTCAAAGAGCTGACAGATTGTCCTGATACAGTTTTCCTGTATACACAAGAGATGCTCATTTGAAGCACGGCACCTCCTGCTGTGTGACATCGGCTGTGTTCGGAATTCAATACTTGAACAGTGTACTATTTTTAAATAGTATGCAGTATGCAATAATAAATACTTTAAAGAGCAGTTTGCTACATAGTTGTCACATGCATGTTTAAAGTTGGCATGAAATGGAAGTTGCGATTAGCCTTTTCGTCCCTATTGGGATGAATATGAGTGAAACGCTTCACAAACAAGAAAAAATGTGGGGCGGGACTTGATTGGATGGTTGTGGTTCGCTATTGTATTGATCTCATGTGATTGACCGCCCTCCCGCCAGTAAACACGTCATCAAAGAGGAGAGATGTTGTTGCAAGAAGTTATTTTGATTAAAGATTGAGGGCACATGAATTAAAAAAAAATGATAGATGTGCACAGATAGCTAATTTAGAATAAATACTGCAATATTCCATGAAAATAAAAAAAATCGGTGTGCCTTTAATTTAATGACAGTGGCTCAGAGTTAGTTCAAAATAAAGATTAGTAGCATTTTTTTGTGTTAAAATAAAAATAAAAATTGTAATTTTGTGTTAAAATGCCCAAACATAAAAAAGTAACCTTTCATTAATTTAGCACACCGAAAAAGACAGATCAAACGAACTGCATTATGGGAAAACAGTATTCCAACACAGTATGCCCTTTTCGTATAATGCATTTTGGCAAATACATTTTTTTCATGCATACTGTGCACAGTAAACCAGGGTTCCTGCACACTTTTTAAAGTAAAATTTAAGGCTTTTTAAGACCTTTTTAAGACCTGAAGAAATCAAAATTAATACCATACATTAGGGGTGTGTGATATTGACAAAAATATATCTCGATATTTTCAACGTTTTGTTGATAAACACAAAACAAAAACACAATCAGTAAAATATCAACTAATTATTATCAACAATAATTAGTTGATATTTTACTGATTGTGTTTTTGTGCTGGTGCATGGCTGGTTTAGGCCTGTTGTTGACAGCAGACTCGCGGAGATATTTATATTTTTCATATTCTATGCAGTGGTCAGTTCACAGCTATGACAGAAATTATTAATTAATGTGCAATATTTGCCACCTTAAATTGATTTCCAGGGGCATTTTCACCTATTTATGGAGATTTTTTTTTCTAAACTTATTTAGAGTTATGCATCACGTGCATCACGTATATACAGTAATTATACTTATTTAAACAATAATATTTAATTACACAATAATTATACAGTACCACTGGCACTGTTAGCAGTCAAATTAAATCATTCAATCAAAAATCCATCTTTGCAGTGCAGAGGTGACGCAGAAGCAGCATTAGAAGTGGCATTAATATATACACTCCATTTATAATTGTATAAATCAAGCTATAAGTTTTTTTAAAAAAATCAATATTCAATATTTAAATGTGAAATGATTTCTAATTTTAACGTTTTACTTTTGATATGAAACTAAAACCGCCAGTAGGCGGCGGCAAATCGCTGTCTTAATAAGCGAGTTGAGGGAGTCATTCATTCAACCGATTTGTTCAAACGGGAAAGAAGCAAGTGCTTGAATCGTTAAAATGACTCGTTCAAAACGCGGATTTCCTTCATGAAATCATCGCTTTCTGTTGCATTGAGACTGCTACGGTTTCATTTTGAAATTCTAGTCGGCGAAATAAAGGGAAAACAAACAATATCGATAATGTTATGTCTAAAAACTAACTCACAATGTCAATTTATTTTTAATTTAACTATTGAATAACCTAAATATCACACTTGTGCACGGGAAAACGGCACTCTTACTGATGTGAGATTCTAATATAACAACATGATATAAATATAAGGCAAAAACTAATTTGGGGGCATACCTATAACCATAGACATAATAAATACATGTCTATGCCTATAACTGCACACATCACGCAGTAAAAAACGAGAGACAAATGCGATGTCAGCTCACACTCACAGTGCCTCGTCCATCGTTAAAACAATAGAATATCATAATAGACAATACACATCGCACATCTCTACGCACATAAAGAATTAACTTACGACTGAACTGACATTTGCCAACTTCTCTCATCCTCACCTCTCTCGCGTGCAGGAGACGGACGTTATTCTGCCGCGAATGTGACGAAAATTGTCACGTGAACAAGCACATCCACAAAGATAGATAAAAATTAATACGTACGCAAATTAGATGGTTTTAATTTGGAAAACATTAAGATATGACTATGTCGAAGTGTCATCTAAAATTTAAGACCTTTCATACCTAAAAATAAGACTTTATAAGACTTTTAATGGCCTTAAATTTTAAATATCTAATTTAAGACTTTTTAAGACTTTTTAAGGACCCGCGGGAACCCTGTAAACATACGTATGCTATTCAGACGTTTTATTACAGTGTTTACACCCTGTAAACGAAGCCGGGATTGGATGATGGTGATGTGAAAGCACACTTTACCTGCTTTGAGAAGCACTATCTGATCATTCTGACAGAGCTCCATGAAGCCGTCGATGCGTTTGGCAAACTCCACCACATACTGAATGGCCTCTGTGATTTTAATGGCACACAACTGCCACATGACTTCCCTAGGCTGAGGGGAAACAAAACACAAAAGAGGCCATATTATTATGTACAGTAGCAGATTAATTAAAGTACACTCGTGATTTTTGCACTAAAAACCATCACTTTTCAGTTTTACATGACCATTTTATACTCACTGACCCTTTGACGCAGTACCAAATATCTATTGATATGTAATTGTTTTCGGCTACCTATGGATAGGTAACATTCTCGTTTGGGTTGAATTTATTAATATTAGTCAATGCATTAGGTATCACGATCTAACAATCAACAATACATTTACAGCATTTTTTAATTTTGGGTAACATATACATTTATACGTGTCCGCAGTTTTTCCTCTTTGTCGCCATCTCTGTTCGAAATCTGCAATTGCAGTTACTGTATTTGCGGAATTATCAACTTTACGCGAGTTGTAATTCGACACCCTCGACACAGCACAGCGCGGATGTTTGAGGAGAGACACTGTGACTGTTTTACTGTTTTGTGACAGAAGAAAAAAAACTCGTACAGGTTTGGAACAACATGAGGGTGAGTAAATGATGACCGAATTTTCATTTTTTGGGTGAACTGTCCCTTTAAATGGATCTTCATCCTATTAATGCAACCAGCAAGGACATGTTTGATTCCATTGCCATATCAGTGTCACTGCAAGTTACAACATTAAAAACACTGCTGTCTAAGGCTTCTGAAAAGCTGTGTGTTTACCTTGTTCTGGTAGCCCTCCACCTCCTCCTGAAGGAACGCCTGCCAGGTCATTTGCTGAAGTTCTTCTCTCAGGTACTGACACGTCTCCATGTGGGACTTGGAAATGTTCTGGGCCAGATGTTCTGAAACGCAACGCAACATACCGTCAAAAAAAAACAAAAAACCTGTCGCGCTTGACTGCACTTAACGTACAGACCTATAGAGCTGTACTATATATATATGTGTGTGTGAGAGAGAGAGAGAGAGATGGCATTTGCTTCCCATTAACGTTATAAAAAAGTTATTCCTACTAGTAGCAGAAATACAGAAATGCTGAGGGAAAAAGATCTTTCAACAGATCCAGCATTTTATTTGCGTCTCCAATCAAAAGGTTTGTGAATTACAGTCGATTTCGAAGCGTGTTGACAATCTGTGTTGTACGAAAGGAAATTAGGACAGCACTTCAAGTATAAAAGTGAGTGTGTCAATTCATGGGAACAAAGGTCATATTTGCTTTCAGCAAGAACGAAAAAATGGAGACGAAAGAAAGAAGAAGAAAAAAAACAGTATAAAAATTCAATCATGTTGAAAACACATCTGTTAAAAGGAGTCCCAGAGCAGGAGAGGAAGCTAAAAAAATGATTTCCCTTGGCGCGTGCCCTGCTGGATCCTGATTGGCCCTAATTAATGGAAACTAATTAGAAAAAAAAAAGAGATTCTTTTAATGAGTCTTCGAGATAAATCTCCAACCTAATGCTATTTTTAAGACACCTTTAGCGATGTTTGCCCCACGGTTGGGTTCTTCCCCCTAGTACCATCCCCTACCCAGAATCCACTCTGCCGTTCTTCAGAATGATCACTTACCCAACTCAGCCATGGAAACGGTGGGGGACGTCTCCCCGTTGGTGAAGGAACAGTAGGGGAAGAAGCCCGAGCCCGGGGTGAAGTCGCAGATGGGCTCCGGCTTGATGCCGTTGATGTCCAGGCCGGACTGATCGGGTGAGGGTTGGATGTCCAGGTAGAAGCTGCTGACGCCCGAGTCAGGCTTGGTGCCGTCGGGTGTGTGGCCGTTCATGTAGCCGCTCAGGTCGTCATGAAGCTCGGTCAGGCCATTGGTGGAAAGGCCGTAGGTCGGTGTAAGGGGTTCGGCCTCACCGGGCTGCTGCTGGTGGTCCCGCTGTTGCTGCTGGAGCCGGTGTTTCTGCACCTCTGCATACAGGCTGTCCCGCTGTTTCTTCGACATCCGGCCGAACTTTACCGCTATAAGGGGCAAAGACTTAATTGCATTATGAACTGAAATCTCTTTCGAATTGTGACTGCTTCCTTAAATACAATCAAATACATGTATAAACATGAGAAAATGTAACGAATTTGTACAATGTAACTTGTGTCACATGAAGGTCCACCCTGCTAGAAATATCTGTCAGATCGTGGGAAAATGCATGAATGAGATCATATCAATTCATACACATTAAAGGAGTAGTTCACTTTTGAAAAAACTTTTGCTGATAATTTACTCTCCCCCATGTCATCCAAGATGTCCATGTCTTTCTTTCTTTCTTCAGTCGAAAAGAAATTAAGGTTTTTGATGAAAACATTCCAGGATTTTTCTCCATATAATGGACTTCAGTGGGAACCAAACAGCTCAAGTTCTAAAAGAAACTTTAAGTACAAACTGCAAACTTGTTCAAAGGGCTTTAAACGATTCCAGACGATGAATAAGGGTCTTATCAAGCGAAACGATCGCTCGTTTTATAAATAAATAACAAAGTTTTATGAGCTCAAACGCTCGTCTTGCTCTGTTCTGTTACGCACTCCTGTTCGAACTCATTCATCAAAATGAACAAATCTTTTTCCCGAGTCATTTGGTTCATTCGGCGAAAAAAAAACGAACGAATTGATTCGGAAAAAGATTTGTTAATTTTGTTGAACGAGTTCGAACAGGAGAGTCACGAACGTGCACCACAGAACAGAGCAAGGCGAGCGTTTGATCTTATAAAACTTAAACTTTGTTATTTAAAAAAAAAAAATGAGCGATCGTTTCGCTTGATAAGACCCTTATTTATCGTCTGGAATCGTTTAAAGCCCTTTGAACAAGTTTCCAGTTTGCACTGAAAGTTTCTTTTGGACCTTGAACCGTCTGGTTCCCACTGAAGTGCATTATATGGAGAAAAATCCTGGAACGTTTTCATTAAAAACCTTAATTTCTTTTCGACTGAAGAAAGAAAGACATGGACATCTTGGATGACATGGGGGTGAGTAAATTATCAGCAAACGTTTTTTTAAAAGTGAACTACTCCTTTAATCTGCCAAAATCTAAGGGTCTGTTTACACGACAACGTTTTCGATTAAAAACGTAAAACTTTTAATGCATTTTGTGTGCCTGAAAATGCAAACTTGTAAAAACGGGTTTCAAAGTGCAAGTTTTTCCAAAACGGTCTCCGTGTAAACAACAAAAACGTGAGTCTCTGAAGACGATGACGTCATGCACAAGTGTATTACGTGTTCACTATAGTGTTGCATCGCCATCTAACGGCCTGGCAGCAGAATACAGCGTTTTTAGTCTGAAGTCATTTTGACAATGGTGTCGTCTGTACTGAAATGGTCACAAATTTCCATGCGAGTGTGTTGGGTGAGATGTCTTTGTCTATTGAATGCGTTTATTCAACATGACATCATAACTTTTGCGTAAACATACACGCCACTTTCGAGTCAAGTGGCGTGTTATCGCTAGGCATTTTGAGCTATCCGCGTGTATGTCTATGCCATTAATGTCCGAGTGATTCAGACACGCCGTCAAATGTCCGCACGAAACGAAGCAAAATGTAGATCTACATCTGGGGAACGATCTTTTTTTTTCCTAGGATGGTAAGGGAACACTCATAAATGGCATTAACCCCAGTGACGGTTAGGTTTAGGGACAGGGTTGAGGTAAGTCATATATTTATATATACACAGTAATAACGTTAAGTCAACGGCGTTCATAAAAACGCTGTAAAGCGATTATGCATCTTGATAGCACGCCAAAAATGGAAATGCGAATTGGCGTGTCATACACACGCTACTTCATGAGATCAGTCTGGTTTATTACAGGGGCAATCCTCCTAGGACTGAGAGCCATCCTCAAGGGGATGATAGTGGTGCATGGGTCACTGTTTATATTGTCTGTTGGTAACAAAATGGTTGCTGGTTTGATCACACCAAAACTACCCTTGCAGAAGACTTCACCCCATAGCCATTGTTACTCAAGAAAAAAAAAAAAAAACAATAGGCACAATCTCTTTTCCCTGAAGGCTCTGGCCTTTGAAGGGAAGCTTAGTGTAACGGCATGGAGAGTACAACTAACTCCCGGGAGCAGGGTTTAATGTCTCTCAGAGGGTATTAGTAGTGTATTGGGTCAAAAAAAGGAAGCTCTTTGGTAAATAGCATTAGCTTTTTCCTGCTGTCTACCTGTCAAAATGATCCAAGAAAACCTGACTAGCATGAATCACCAATTTACAAGCACTCACAAAAAGGAAAGGCCTTCACTCGCAACACCTGGAGGAAGCGGCGGAGAGACTGTTCAGCTTACAAAGAAAGAGCAGCTACAGCTTTAGACTGGCTTTGAACTGGAGGAGTGTTAGAAGAACAGGAAGCAGGGGACGGAATACAGTGCGGATCAGATATGAGTGAAGATCAAGTGTTTGTAAAAAGGAAGGGCGCCTGGCGAGGACAAGCTGATCTACTGATGGTTGGGAAAAAAGAGATAAAAGTACTGGAGAAGTTTAGTGGAGAATGAAGGGGATAATGGGGCTTTGACTGTTGGGGACGAGAGGAGACCAGAAGATGGGACAGGAGAGACAGTATGTGAGGGGAGAAGAAGAGAGGAAATTAGGCAAGAAATGAGACAAATGAGAGGAGATGAAGAAGAAGAAGTGGAGATGAGAAAATAATAATTGAGACTAAATGAGATTTGAAGAGGTTAGAGGAGACGAGGCGAGAGGAAGTTTGTCGGAAGGAGATGAAACAAAAAGAGAGCAGAGGATACAAATTGAGACTTGTGGAGTGGAGACAAGACATGAGAAGAGAAAATAAAATGAGACATGAGCAGAGTACAGGAGTTTTGTGCAACGGAGATGACACAAGACACGCTTGGAGGAGACATAAGCGAGGAGTTTAGATCAGCTCTGATTTTGAGGCGTATGAGGCCTAACGCCGTATCAGACGTGTGTGTGTCTGGGTACGCTCTGCGTCTCTGTCCCAGAGTAAGGAAGGCAGATGGGGACTGGTGAGCTTCAGTCGGAGTGAAGTCAGAAGTCACCTTGCCTGTCCTGGTTGTGTGTGAGAGAGCAGCCTGGTAGGCTCGGAAGACCTGGCCTGATTTCATCCTCCTGTCACGGGCCGTAGTCACACAGCCCAGCCGGAGGCCCAGCAGGGGGCCTCCACACACACACCTGTGCACCCGTTAACGCTGCTCGCCTGCATTGTCTTTAATGAGCCTGCTTTAATGACGCTCATTTAATAAAAGCTACTTGCTGTCAGATTCTCCAACCTGACTGAGCATGCCCTGCAGTCCAGAACCACAACTGCCTCGAAAATTCATCTTGTCACAAGTTTGGTAAAAAATGAATGAGCAAAGGGCGCTGACTGCAGAGCAGGTACTCTACTTAAGTGACATGGCAAGACCGGGGACAAAGGTAAGTATTGAATAAAAGTAGTAAAGGACTGAACATTTAATTGTTTCCTTGAAGTCCTCAACGTACTTTCAATATAAATTTAGCCGTCGCCGTTAAAATTGACTGTTTTTGTCCTGTACCTTTTAAGATTTCTATATTTAAATGACTTTGGTTATGATTGTCTCACGTCTTTGGATGTGAAATGAGCGCTGGATTTTTAGATATTGACATGAACTGCCGAGGTAAATCTCGTCATTTTGGTATTGTGAACAATTTTTGTGTTTTTTCTTTTTTTAAAAAGTTTTATTTTTCATAAATTTCACCTTTATTGTAAGCCGCTTTCTCCTCTGTCATTTGAACGACCGGTTTACATCCTGAAACAGGCAGTGGGCTCAGATTGGTTAGTTTGGGACGGTGTGTTGTGATTGGCTAAACTGTATTCCTTCCTGATTTAAGCTAGTCCCAGACTAAAATGCATGATTGAGCGGTTTTAACTGAAAGAAACTTGCGCTGACATATCTTAAAATATGTCAGTGCCATCACTTTGTCTTAAGACACACACCAGTAATGTTCTTTTTCTAAAATATGTTTATAAAAGCTACTTAAATGTCCTAACTGAACTAATCCTGGCTTAAGCGAAGCCGTGTCAGTGAAACCAGGCCTAAAATTATATGGAATTTCAAATTAAGCTAAAATTGTGTCAAATTATGAAAAATAAAATTAATTATGGTTATGTAGGATACCTATGAACTTAATTTAATTTAGACATTTTATTACAAAAATAACATAAATGTCAATAATTTCCATAAAGGAATGTTATTAAACACAAAACATCTTTTTTTTTTTTACTTTATTTTAAAGGTTTTTTCAAGTTAAAACACAAAACAAACAACAAACAATGGCTCGGACTACACACACTCAAAAAAAAAAAAAAAAAAAAAAACATTAGTACATTAGTAAAAGGCTGCAGATCAGACTAGGTGCCCAGAGGGAAAACACAAAACATCATTTGAGATGGAAATGACACTGTGGTGGAAATGACTTGCATAATAATAATAATGGAAATGCATGTACTCTGTCATATTTGCGGACATTGTTAAAAAGTTTTGCACGTACGCTTTACACGCTGCTCTGTTTGGTATTTTGCATGCATTCGGTGTTCTGTATCTGTGGAGACTGTGTTCTCCCTCTGGTGTCTGCTGTCCTGGACATGTACTCACCGTCACGTGACATGCCCACGGCCAGACACTTCTGCAGCCTGCAGTGCTGGCAGCGGTTCCGGCTAGTGCGGTCAATCAGGCAGTTCTTCTGACGCGGGCACGAGTACGCAGCATTGCTCTGCTGACTCCTCCTGAAGAAACCCTACAGGCCCCAGGGACAGACAGAGAGAGCGTTGGTTAACCCATGCACGCCTCAACAGTAAGAATTTTTAAGATGTCTCATCACAATATATATATATATATATATATATATATACATTTTTGTTTTAGAATGCATTTTCATACACTGTAAAAGAAAAGATGCTGCCTTGAATATTTTAAGTACAAACCAACTTGGAGGTTTAAGTCATTTAATTAATTTCAGTTAAAATTGACCGCCTTCTGAGTTTGAGTTGAAGCAATGTTAAATGTAAAGTAACATTAAACTACTTTTTTACAGACAGCTTGTCAAACAGAAATGGCAAGAAAGGGGAGAAGAGGGCAACATAAAGGAGACAGAAAGGATGTCTGCCAAGGAAAGGGCAAAAAATACAATTCGTGGGTATAGACGAGAGGATGAAAGGAGCATTAGGTGAATATAGGGAGATAAATTGATTGAAATGTATTGTTTTAATGTAATTTAAATGTATATTTTAATGACATTTAAATGCAATGTTACACTGTTACATTATACATTTTAAAATAATAGTTTTTTTTTTGTTTGTTTTATCAGAAATGTCTCAGTTTCATTTAGCAGTTTGACTGGCCCATTTTTGCTGATCAGCCGGCCCATTTTACCTGAACACGGCTCATCTAAAAAAATGTGGAAAAAAGCTATGTTTCAAAACCTGAAGGGCCTGAACGATTATATTTTATTACATCATTTCAACACAAAAAATATTTTTTTTAAAAGTCCTTATTAATCATAAGAACACAGTATAATGTCATGCATAGGTTTTTAGTTAGTGTCCCAAGCAATTAACCAAAAAATGTGTCAAATTGTAATATCAGGCAATTTGCCTGATATCACCCTACATAAATTACTAACTTAAAAAAAAATTAGTGGAATCTTGTATAATTTATACAATATTTTTTTTTTGAAAATCACTTAAATTTAACGAGTTAAAGCAATGTAAAGACGTATGTTGACACAACTTATTGATCATATATTTTTTACAGTGCATGTACAAAAACATTTAAAAAATTGTTAAACTTTTTATTTTTAATTAACAGCTGCAAATTATACATCCGACCTTGTCCGCACACTTCTAAATATGACTTACATTTATCTAATTATTACACCATAACATTTGTATATCATAATATTTACTAAGAAAAACATTTTAATGTAGTCGACAGACATGCATCTATACGTTACAAGCGCATATTATCCCACATGAAGTGCTCATAAAACATTTCTGTGGCAAATGCTGAACAGATGGTGGCAGCTTTACAAACACTTGCCTCGATCATATAGACATGTTTCTCTTTAGTCAAGACACATCCGAGCGACACATACTTTGGTGCGGTAACTATAAAAACAAGTATTTTTCCTCATTAACAACTGGCATGGCAAGTTCAGAGACGGATGAGAATGGTAGTAAATAATGGCGAGGTTATTAATGTTGAATAACAGAGAACCCGGACCCAGTGGTTGGCTCGAGGGGTGTGTGTGGGGGGGGGAGTGGGCGCCCACGTTGAGTTTATTTCTCATCCTTTTGACTTAATGAATTGATTCCAGCTCGTCATTAACACACCCCACTCCACAGCTCCATACACATATGTCTTAATTAGTTGCTCATTGGCTGTTTAATTACTAGAAAACAGCTGACAGCTGCCAAGTCGCTTTCTAATGGCAGCCATTATGAAAGCGGGGTAGGACTGCCGGTGACAAGCAGCGCTCCTTAATAATGCTATGATTTATGGGCCGGAGCGTTGTGCTCGCACATATCATTAAATGTCTCTGTGCCTCGAGTAATTAGTAATCATTAAAGATACATTTCAGCAGTTTATTCTTCAGGCCTGCGCGTTTCTGCCGCCGAGTGAGTGACGGAGGGAGATGCTGAGCAGAGAGTCTGTCTATTGTGCGGGAAAACAAAAAAACAAAAAAACGAGGCGTTCAAGAGCCGCGTCCGCACGTTCGTTTCTGCAGACTCCTGCTCGCGGAATGCTAACGAGTCGCTCCGGTGACAGGCGGAAAACAGGAATACACAATAAGCACAAAATTCCTCTTTGCTGAGTGGACGGCGTGTTTGAAAAATGCACAAAAAGAGGAGCTTCGGTGGGAAAGAGTGTTTGTGTGTGTGTGTGGGGAGACAAAACTGCTAACGACGTGCTGTGGTCCAAAGCGCTTCCTGTTTGACGGTTTTATAAAAAAAAAAAAAAAAAAGTCAAGCGCAGTAAAGAAAAACAAGACAAAGGGATTTTATTGTTGTCGTATTGTAATTGTGACGTTTTTAGCAACATTTCAAACTGACTCCGCGGGTTATTAAGACTCAGGCGCGTGGAGATTTGTGAAGTCCTGTAAGCACAATAGTAGTCGTTTCTTCTTTCAGACAGACAATAATCCGAAAGAAACTTCTGTTATTTTCCAGAATGTCTCATTTGTTGGCTTTTCACGCTTTTTCTTTGTCACGAGCGCATGCACGCTTTACCCGCTGACAGGGTTGTTTAGCTTCTTACCTTGCAGCCCTCGCACGTTATCACGCCATAATGGATGCCTGATGATTTGTCTCCACAGATCTTGCAGGGAATTATTTCGATTTGAGCTGCGGAGAAAGAAAAGAGAGAAGATACTGTCAGGATTTTTCACTGTCACCAGTCACCACGCAACACCTCCTCCACGGCTGCATGTTGCGACATGAAACGGCGCCGAGCTTCAAAAGCATCACGTCGATGCCACCCTCGGCTGCCGCGTATTTGGAGGAGGCCATTCTGACTTTAAACAGAAAACCCTACAAAAAGCTCGGCAAACGTGATGTCAACTCGTGACTTGGAAACAAACGGAATCGTAATAAATCACCACCGTTTCCCCACGGAGCCTTTTGGCCAGCAATATCGGGAGAAACCCAACTCTTTACCACATGACTGGACCTTTTCCGCCACTGGAATATTGGTACAAAGCTGCCCGTTCAATTTAAAAACAGCCAAGCAGTTTTACCACCTCAGAGACAGAATTCAGTCCAAGAGGCCTAGCGTTGTTGTTGATACAAAGAAAATGTGATGTATTTGGGGGAAAGTCTCTCAAAACGTTTAGACCCAATTAGACCCGTATTTAGCGTCATACTGTTAATACCAGGTGTAAACCGGGCCTAAAGGTAGTACCTGTGCCATCTTCTGAAATTTGTTAAATCACATTATGGATCTAACAGATGCTTTCATCCAAAGTGACGTACAGCATAAGTTATTTATTAAAAATGTCATTAATGTAATTCAAATATGCGCATATTGAAACTTGGCACTCATGATCGGTTGAGACGCAAGAACCGAATGTTTGGCATTATTTCCAAACATAGCGTGACATGTTAATGAGGTCTGAGAGTCAATTTCAATTGATTCCTCAAACTGATCTATCCTATAACTTCAAAAGTGTCACGTGCACGAGTTCTACATCCTTTTTAGGAGCTCGACAGACCCGGCCTAGTCCCCATTCACTTTCATTGAAATCAATGGAAATGAGCAGCTCGAACATTCATCCGAACATCTCCCTTTGTTTTCCATGACAAACGGAAAGTCATGCAGGTTTGGAACGACGACACAAGGGAATGCTTCAATTCACTTGTGAACTCGATATTGATTCCGACAGATGAAGTTGCTTAAAAAGAGTCAGGCGTCTCAACGTAATCACATCAAAGGACCCGAACCAAATCTCTGGCCTTTGCAAAATAGACCTTACCACGCTCTATATTTAGCTGGATTACAGCTGAACAGTCACTGTTTAATGTAGCCTAAGCATTTTATTTCTACTTGACAGAAATCGCTCCCTCTAGTTCTCTTAGATCCCGAGCCAAAGTTCCCCGCAGCTACTTGCCTACCTCCAGCCAAAATACTGCGGCTCGATAATATTTTAGTGAACCTTATAAATCCAATCATACGGAATTAATTTGCACGCATCAAATTGCCACCGCTGAGTGATGCATCCGCGGCCGCCCATTTTATCATCTGCCTTCGAGCTCCCGTTGTGTCATCTGGATAATGTCAACGTCCCCGCAGCATGGCCAAGGGTCTCTCTCTCTCTCTCTCTCTCTCGTTTTCTTTCAGCTCTGTGCTGCTGATCCACTAACCCGGTACGCTCAAATCCGTCCGGTCAACGTGCCTGTAAATGGCACATTACACAGTTTTTCGCTGATATAAACCGTTGTTCTCCTCAGGAGAGCTTCTTGGCAATTGGCAGATCTGCTAATTCAATATCCAACGAGTTTTTTTTTAATCATTCATTTATGATTAGGAAACCAAAATTCTTTCTTTTGCATTTCGAAAAAAGAAGGGGGGTGGGGAATCATGGGCAGTGCACTGTTGTTTGTTTTTGTGTTCTCTCGGCATGAGCATTAGCGCGCCAGTGTGTTCCTACTCCTTTAGCATTTTCAGCCTCATTACTTACATAATTTGTTCTGACATGCACTCACAACAACTGAAGCATGCTGTAATTAAGGCTGGCTGTGGTTGAGGTCCAGGAGAGAGCTTGTAGTACCCGGCCCCTGCCAGTAGGTGGCAGTCCAGGGCTGTTGAGTACAGTCTTGCTAATCCCAGCTTCCACGTTCTGCCCTAAGCGGCATCACACTGCTGGCATCACAGACTACCAGACTGCAGGTTCGAGCCTGCGGGGGCCAAGCCGTCGCACTCCTATCTGACTGACTCGCTCCCTAGGCGCCGCTCAGAGGGCCCTTCGGTTTAGCCGGAAAGAAGCAGGTACGCTTGCTGACGAAGCTCATGCCACATCAGTCGAAGGCGCAGGAAGTGAAGAGGGCATAACTGGGCACTCGGGTTTGGGTTTGGGCGCAAATTCTCGCTCTACTCTCCCTCTCGCCAGGCCTTCACATGAAACACTCACAAAGCTCTTTGTCTCCCGCCTGGCTCACGCAGTGCTGGATCGGAGCTTCCTTTGTCTACGGAGAGCGCTAAACCGAAATTGTTCTGCTGGAAAAAAAAAAAAAAGTCCTCACAGCAAGATTAGGACGGGGAGTAATTCATCCAGCTCCAGTGCAAACACACTCGCCTAATAACACACACTGTGAGATATTCAGTTGCTCCAACAGTTCCACGTTTCCATGGTGGTACTTGCCAGCACTGGAGAATAACTTTAAGGGAAAAAATACTATGGTATTACTTTATTTTTTGGATGATTTTACCATGTAAATGCCACAGATTTCACATATTGTTAACCATTTAGAAAGTATACTGCGAGTGGAGTTATTATTATTTAAAATCACAGTGTGCTTTATAAAGTTCACTATGTATTTGCTAAACATGTCACTAATAATATATTATAATATCGTTATGCTTTCTAAAGAGTTACAATAGATTATAACAATCATAAATAACATTTTTTCTCATATAAATACATTGTTAGACATTTTAGAAAGCATACCATCTTAATATTAATAACTATAACAATAATTAAAATCACAATGTGCTTTAAAAAAAATATATATTATTATTATTATTATAAAGCAAAATGTGATTTAAATGATTATTATTACATAAAAAAATACCAATAATAATAATTAATCATAATCAAAATCACAATCTGCTTTCATATAAATATATTATTTTATATTATACCTATTTAGACAGCACATTGTGATTCAATTACTATTGCTGTGTATAATTAATAATAATTATTATTAGACAATTTAAATCACAGTATTCTTTTCTAGAGAGTTCATAATATACAGTATTTACATGCAAAAAATGGCATTTATCACAATATTTGTTGTTGTTATTATTGGATAATTTTCTTCATATAAACACATCAACCGTTTTGAAAGCATACATAATAATTATTATTATTCACAATGTGCTTTATGAAGAGTTTATAATAATTTCTCAAAAAAATACACCACATAGGTCATAAAGCCAGATGTTTATCATCACCGCAGACGAAGATGACTGATGCAGCATATCAGACAGAGTTCATGTTATACACCGCGGATGGTCAAAAAAGGTCTCAGCCTACGGGCAACATCAAACATACCACAGACACGCAACACACGCAGTTACGCAAATGGAAACGTACATTAAAAGGCCACAGGGCCGTGGTAACGTTAAAGATCAAACCTTTGCACTAAATGACTCCCATTGCGCCTACATTGAAATGTGTGGCAGCGAAGAGCAAATCTGATGCAGCTTGTTAGTTGGGTCTGCTCTGTTGTGACTTCCTGGAGCCCACTTCAAGGTCACTGAGTCAGAGCTGACAGCGAGACAGAGCCCTGAGGAGGAGTGACGCGTCACTTCGCTGTCCCCTCTCTCGGCTAATGCTATCTTTCTCACCGTCTATCGCCCTCCATCCCTCTCTCTCATTCCACGTCCCAATCGCAATCAGGCCCCGTCTCTGCCATGCCCTTTAAAGCCCTCAAATCAGACCTCATGGGAGACAAGCCCCTGCTCTTGCTAACAGAAGCCCCTCAGTTTCTGCTAACATCAAACACACTTGTCACTTGCTCACCAAATGGCCATTTTAATTGGTACGGCACATAGTTCATGCACATAAATTCATACTGAGGCCATATTTCATAGCACACCATCAGCCGTGACAGTCCGGCTCTCCGAGACTGCTTAGCCGTGCTGCGCGACAACCGCAAAACACAGCAGTAATGTGTCTCGCGTTTAATGATCGTCTGATATTTAACGGAAAATAGTATCTAAAATCAATGACGGATGTAGTTTGTCCCATAGTTTAGCTCCTGTATTTAGGCCACTGCATTAAAATGACATATTAGAATGGACAATGAAAAACATAAATGTGAAATAGACACTTTCGTCTCAATTGTGTAAGAACTAGCTCTTTGCTAAGTTACAGGGGAAGCTAGGCTAGGCTACATTTGTAATGTAATTTGTGTGAAACTTCAGTATGACACTAATTGTTTTTTGTTTTTTTTTAACAGATGTATTAAAGTCATATGTTAGGAGACCAAAATCAAAGTGAATACAGTTTTAGCAGTTGATAGCAAATCAAGAGTTTCCTATATTTTGCTTATGAAACACTGACTGTCCCTTATAGCCTATTCCCACAATGCATTCACACGTTAATTCAAGTCTTTCTTGACAAAAGTGCAAAGGAATGAAAACCACAGCAAAAGGTTTCTCATCAAACAGTGGAGACAATAATAATTTCACCATAATGCGTGCTAACGCCTCAGCGCTAACTGTCAGAGTCGGTCTGTATTCTTTAGCGCATTAGCGCTGACATCAGCATCACAAAGGCGCTCATTCTCCATGCTGAGCACTTCTTAAAAGTGCTCTCTCCTCATTTGTACCTGAGGAGCTTCGTTCTAAGTGAGGCAAAAAGTGTAATGTTGACAATATATTGAAGGCGTGTGAAATATTCAGGAATGTTCACTCGCTAATGGAGGATTCCAGGATCCAGCTAGTGGGGGAGGGTTGATCGCTAACTTCAGCAGAGTGCTTCTTCCCGTCTGCGCATACAAAATGATATGGCTTTTTTTTCTTTTCAGCAGTATTAAAACATCCTGATCTCCATTTCTGCACACAGACGTCAGTGATATTGTTTGTCTGGCGTGCTGGAAATCAAGCTACGTGACTAGCGATA